GCCATCCATATTTGGTATAGAAGGAAGAAGAAGAAAAAACTCAATCCAAGCGGTTGTGGCAAGCAACAGAAGTTCCTTATTTTTATTGATTTCATTGCTGCTGTTGCCACTGCTTCAATTTACAAAAACCTTTTGAAAAGTTGACTTGTCAGGCAAGAATCCTTAAAAATGTGTTGAGCACATACAGTCCACAGTCCTGGTATAGGAAGCAGTAAGCAGTAAGCACGAAATGTTTTTATACATTCTTCTCCTTTTAATTTACTTAAGTTTTGTTTGCTCCTTTTTTTACCCTACTTATACATTTTCATATCAACGTGCTTACATATACGTCCTTACACTCAATCTTCAAGGATAAGTAGTAAAAGGAAAAAATCATGTAAAGACTTGACGTTGCATTGAAATCTGTTTTAAAGTCTTTATTTTACTTTAGCCAGGATATTATCAGCAAAAACTGGGAGCAACACCGTAAGTGAGGCACTAAGTATATGCATTTGTGTTTGCTTATATGAAATCCAAATATACTTAAACGTACTTATATGTTTTTGGCTTAAGTATATATATTTAAGTATGCATATGGGCATTTTTAAATGTGAGTAATTATTATGTATTACTCTTTTATTGATACACTCAAATGAAAATATTTGATAAATGTAACATGTAAAATGGGTTAATATTGCTTTCTGAGTAGATTTAGTTGCAGAAGAGAACAGAACGTAATTTAAATTAGATTTAATAAAGTATATTTTTTTAGAAAATAATTAAAGGTTTGTTTTTCAACTAATGACGTGAATTCGAACAACAACCGGTAATGCATTATTGTACCAAATTCACTTTTAGTTCCACAAATCCCTTTAAAGCTTTATAAACAAAGTCCAGAACAAAATCTGGAGAAAAGCTTTTAGTCTGTACTGGGGACAGAAACAAGTTTCTTCTGTGCGTTGTTAAAGCTGAACAATCACAAAAAATATACGAGTATATAGTTGATTCGTCATCATTGAGTCATAATATGCATACCACATTATCAAACAATTAAAGTTTATGAAACCCGCTGCAAGAAATTTACTTAGGACTACAAAGCATGAATTGATAAATTATTTTGTCTCCCATTTGTTTTAGACTTCATTCAATAGTTTCGAAATTGATATTCCGCTCAGTATCTGATTTTTCTCACTATGTGCTTCTCTGAAAATTTCTCTAATATTGCCATATTTTTCATAACTATAATCTTCACTCAAATATTTGCACTATGAATACTGTCAATAATTAAGGACTGGAATAAGTTTATACTATACTTAACTTAAGAGTTTCGTAAATATGCGTTGTTGAACTAGAACTGAAACTACTAATTAAGATCTCTCATAACTAGAAGAACAGTGTTATCTTTCATTAACGAAATGTTGCAATACTAAAAAACTTCATTTCAAATATCTATACATTAGCAGTATATCATTTACTCCAATTTTAAAATAGGTACTCAGTAATTTTAATACAATTTACTAACTTTTTCGCTTTCTCGCCGTTATCAAAGTGAATTCCTTGTAAATCACAACATAGGAAAAAAAGGACTGATAACTTTCTACAGTTTTTGTCCTTAAAGGCCGACATACGCAAGTAAAGTTTTAATTTCTATGCAGTATGTTACATACACCTATAGTAGTTATTTGTTTATATATAAATTTAAATATAAATACATACATATATACACATAATTTTTTTTTGAAGTAAACAGTAAAGTAATTAAATTTTAAAGGATTTTGTTTAACTTCTTCTGCTGCCTTCCCTTTTTTCTCTCCCATAAAACTTTAAATTTAGCAGGGAATATGTTCTGCCCTTGCTTCATACCCTTCTTTTGTATTGGTGTTGGTTATAAAGTGTTAATTTGTTGTAGGGATTATTATCCTTTTTTACGTTAATGTATGAATAATAGACAAATTTTTTTATAGAATATAAATACAAAAAATAATGATTTTATGTAAAAGGATTTTAATGTAAAATTTTAATTTTTTAAAGGATTCAGTGTGTAAAACATAAAGCAAGGGTATTTAAGTAGCATATTTCATCAAAAGGAATTACATTGGCAGGAAAATGGAAAGATAGCATGTTTTTACATACTGAATTGGGGTTCTTATACTCTAATAAAAATTGTTATTTCAAGTAAGGACTAATGAGCTGCCAGAAAAGTCACAAAAAACAAAATAATCCTGATTAAAAAAAGTTTCTTTTTAATTACTTTGGAAAGCTCTATAGGTGCAAAATGTTGGTACCTGTCTGATTAAGGATACAATTAAATGTAAACAATGAAACAATTTCAATAGAGTTAACATTTAAAAATCAAAGTACTATAAAATCAGAAAAATTAACTTTTAATAGTTCCGTTATTAAAACATTTATTTCGCCAGCAGATATGTACCTCTGAGTGATCCATTTTATTGATGTGGTAATCACCTCAAACTGCTTTATTATGTCAGACATCTGTAAGATATATTACTTCTATTCAGGCACGTTCATATACATTTCACAGAAGTGACGAATTCAGATCTCTAAAGAACCCATGCTATGATAGCTCGAACTGTAGTATAGTGTTAGTACCTTTATAAGATTTTTAATATATTTTTCGTTTACTACAAGTAGTCTGTTTTCACTAACCTCAATGGGCTAATGAATTTTTTAATTGATCTGGATTGTCCTAGATTTTAACAATGTACTCAGTATTTCTTAAATTTGGATTCCTACGAGTACCTGAATTTTCATAACGCGTTGTTAGTATACATAAAGGCTCAGCTCTGATTAAAATAATAGACACTGAGCTCTTGACACAGTTCTGACAAAGTTTAATCTCAGTAAGACTCCTTAGCTGTCCGACATTATGTTTATTGCTTGATTCATATCTCGAAACCTACCATAAACTGATATAATTGTATGGTTATAGTTTGATATATATAAATGATAAACACACTAAAGCCGCTTGCCTGTCAGACATTATATTGATTGCCAGTTTATGTATAGATTTAAAAGCTATAACAATATATAATATTTACTATATTAAGGATATTGATTCTTAAAAAAACTATTCATGAGCCTATATCAAAAAGCTATTCCTGGTAAAAGTAAACCGTTATTGTTAAAAAAAAATATTTATTAAATGGTAAAAACATAATATTAGTATTAAAATAAGTTAGTAAAGGAAGTGTGAATTTGAATTCAGTTTAAGGATAAAATATTACTCCTGATTTACTTTGCTTTCCTGATTGACACTTTATTGCCTAACATTTAAATAGAAATACTCCTAAAACCTATAGACTCATCCGTGCTCACAAATTTGTATAAGACTCGAATTGACTTTTCCATTATACGAAAAAACTTTTTTAATTAAACAATTTCCAAGGACTTTTAAGTATTTTTTAAAGAAAATATTTGCACAAAAGGAGAATTGGATAATTGCCGTAATTAATGACATCAACAAAGCTTATATGTTCTCATAATTGTAAGCAAATATATTTAAAACATGCCAAAAATGAGTTAATAGAATATTTTAATTATCCTGAATACTGTGAAAGCTGGCAGCACATCGTCAACTTTAGAGGATGACAATTAATCATATTTTACGTGAACATCAAGTTGAGTTATTCTAAGGAAATTGTCTGGAAAGTATGAATAAGAAGTATAATGATTAAACAAAGTCGTTGAGTTTGAATCTAAAATTATATTAAAGTAATTCAAGTTTATATATATGACAGTATTATAAAATCATATAAAAATTATAATCTCTTGTAAGATATTATTTATTACTTACAGATAAAAAAAATCACAACTTTAAATAAATATCCACAAAATTATATATAAGCAACATAAAAGTAGATATTTTAGTATTTTGCACTAATCAAATATTAAAAAAGTTTTCTAATCTTCATATGTATCTCTTGAACTACTTTGTAGTACTATCATTGCGAGCTTCTTAGCGAAGTTCTAAATAATATCGTCAGCGACGGCGATCTTAGTTCATGGTTGCCAATCTCATTCATGGTACTTAATTCACATTTATAGATAGGAAAAAAATATTAATTTAGAAGTTTTATTAATCTCTTTGAACTTCCCAACACTATGAACTACATTTTTTAACCGTTCTATTCTTCTAACTGTTCTAAGAAGTATCTGGCACTGTGCTGTTATTGTACAGCTGCTTCAGTACGCACGAAATAATCAACCAATTTCTAGAGGTTTTAAAACGTTAGGTATATACCTTACAACATCTATCAAACTTATCTGTGTGAAATTTATTTGCATATCTCTGTCA